TTATAAAATAAATTGTATTTTTAATATGTAATTTAATTTATAAAAAAATAAATCCCTTTTTTTATTACTTAAACTCAAAATTTAAAACTCAAGTCAATCAGTTTTTTTTTCTTTTCATTAAATCTTCTAATATTTAAAAGTTACATGAAATTTTAAATAATTTAGAGTCGAATTGTGTTGGACATTATAAAAGATAAATTCCTTTAAGTATTTATTTTTTTATTTATAAAATTTTAATTTAAAAATTTATTTAAAATAAATCTAGTTCTTTTCATTCAAATAAAAGGTTATTAGTGCTGATCCACTAGATTTCATCCCTACTACAATTGGATAGGACACAGAAGACTGCTGGGTCACAGTAGGATGGGTAATGCATTTTTTGAAAATAGGCAATGGTAATGCTATTTCCATTTCAAAGGGTGAAAGGATAAGGTAGCACAATCAATAATGCATACGGCACTTAAGAAGTGGGGATGGCAGTTTGTAGGATGTACAGGTGGGAAAGCCCCGTTGGTGGCTCATAGCTCATGCTTTGCAGTTTGTACTTGTAGGACCGCAACTGAGAATGGATCATTACAAAAACAAAGATCCGAGCGGATTGATACATAATGTTGTACCTATTTTTATATAGGAGAAGTGAATATCAATTTGTATTATAAAAAATTAAGTAAAAAAATATATTAAAATTATATTAAAAAAATTAAAATATTTTATTTATTTTTAAGGTAAAGGTGAAGATGTTTTAATTTTTTTGTAATATTTTAGTAAAATAACATAATTTTAAAATATTTTTTATTTAAATTTTTATAATTTATATTTTTATCTAATAAATATTAATTTTTTATATTATATTATTAAAAATTAGTTTATAATTTGAAGTACAAAACATTGAACATTCAATTAAGAGGGGTACATGATAATGAGAAAAAGAAAAGAATTCCTATATTTGATGATTCATGTTTTGTAATTTGATATAATTTATATTACAAAATATCTAACTCTTATTATTATAATAAAAAGCAATGTTAATATTTAACAAAACAGTAATTTTTTTTCATAACAGGCTACTCTTAAAAATATTAATTTGAGATTAAAAAAAGACAAAAATATAATTAATAAATCTTTATGTCCCTAATTCATTAAAGAATATCTGTCCTTTGAAACCTCGTACTGATACTTTTAAGCAGAGGGTAGAGTGAAAAAACACATTTCTGTATTTAATAATACTTTTCAAGTGTTCTTCATTTGTATAAATATTATTGTGAAAATAGTCAAAATACTCCAAAAAATTAAAACTAATTTAATTATAATAAATTAACATTTATTTTACTGCATACTTGTGCAGAAAACAACAACCCAAAGGCAACTTAGCCTCTTCAATAAAAGATGAAGATAGTTTTAAGTGTCACAAAGTGAACAAAAGACGCCAACTTCCATAATAGTTTATGCTACAGTTCAATCATTTTATAGTATTAATCCATCAATCTTGAATATGATGAAATATATTGAATGACTCTTGAGTTAGTATGTAAGATATATATATCTAAGAATAGCTGAGATTTTACTCCTCCAGTCGACTGGAATCATGGTTTCCGGCTGACTCTGAGGAAATTGAAGACATGGAAACCCAAGATCAATGTTGAGAGCTGTCCTCTACTTCATGCTAACTTCTAAGGATATTATGTCTGATATATACAGATACCAGCTACCAGTACAACACTTTCTGAGATTATCTACCAGTGGGACTATAATCTGCCTTCACAGCTCCATTTTCAATTGGTTTGGGTGCAAAGTTGCTGCATCACAGTTTACATGTTTGCAGTTAAGTCTTATAGACTAAAGAACTTGTCTTCAAAAGAAATATACACCACATGATGTTTGCATCTGATATGAGATGCAGAGATGGCTTATGTGAATAGCTACCAAACTACATGAATTAATGTGCAAAGCATCCAGAACTAAATAAACCAAACTCTTGCACCATTTCTTAATGTAGAATACGGTTCACTTCCCTCCTTTTCTTTTCTTTATTTTATTTTTGTTACACAGAACTCAAGATCTCTTTGCATTTGAACAAGTAACATGCAAGCATAATAGCAACCAAGCCAACAACCCTCACCCAGGCACACACACAGGACACCCAATTCTCAAGTTTCTCTTTTGATAACCAGGCACAATGATAAGGTATACACTAGCCAATGCAGCTACCTACTGAAAGTGATAATCTAGACCCTGAAAAGAAAATAACTTATTTCTTATCTACCTGAATTTGCTGAAGAATCATAACTTAAAAGAGAGTTCTCAGGAGTAATGTAGTTATGGCAGACTTCTTCTCTTCCCCAAACTTGCTGCTGCAGTGTATCAAAGTGCCATTGTTGTTGATACGGTTGTCTATTTCCACTTACTTGAGCTTCAGGCCACATTAGAGGTGTAACAATGCTGGGGAAGTTACTATCCATTAGAGATGCACCCTACATGCATATAAAGAAATAATGAGAACAAGTAAATTTTGTGTGGGGAATAAACAATGACGAAATAAAAGAGGACAGGTTCGAAGCTCCTCATGACAAAAAACAAAATGCAGAAATGAGTAGTTACTGCAGAGAAACATGTTCAGATTTTCTACCCATCATTATCCAAGAGAACGCTCAAGTCTCTCGGTTTCAATTAATTATCAATTTAAGTGATATACCACACTACTTAATGTTTATATGAAACCAATTTATTACAGAAGGGTAACTTAGAGGTATGACTTCATTTCTTCTCACTAAATGCTAATAAAATTCCCCAACCAGTCATTTGATGCAGTTGGGTTTTACATCAATTTCCCTATTGGTTTATGGGCCTTCATAGATGTATACGCCATTTAGGAGTTTGGTAGAAGTGAAGGCTTTCAGCTGAACAGTAACCAATTTGACCAGTACGTTCTACAAAATAGTTTAACCAAAGATGCAGATGGCAGGTCCCAAATAAGATATGACCCACTGTCCAGCAAATATTAATGAAAAGAATAGTCCTTTAAGAGACTCAGCACTTGCAAATCTAAATTTCATAACCAAGTTTATCACCAACAATCACAGAGCTAAATAAGTTTCAAGAAGGTAATGCCATGTACAGATCTTTAAAGGAGGAATATAGCACTGGCCTGAGGCCCTGAGCCCAGAAAATGTTACAGGAAACGTTACAGGAAATACCAGCAGGGCTTCCTTCCTAATTTAGAACAGATATAGAAGGTCAAAAGGTGTCTAATACTTACTTCAGCTGTTAATATACTATCGAAACTAAAATCAATTCTTGGGTTGACAGCTGCAAGTCTCATTGATAAGAACTGCAATGAAAGATGTACACAAGCAGAATTAGATCACAATTGTAAAGTACAACTTAATATTACCACAGTATATAACAGGGCTTTCCAGCATATCATCAAGCCTCGCCTCAATTTTTGGGGCTATAAACATGATTGGTCAGTAAAAGAAACAAAAGTACAGTATCACTTAAAAACAAAGGTTGTTTGCAACAAGGCATGAAGGACAGTTGAAACTGTCTGGTTTAAAACAGTCAAAGTACATACTCAGCACTCAAGGAAAGAACTGAATCATACAAACTAAAGGAATCCATATAGAAGTAATTGGCATAATTGCAAGATGATTATTTTCATGCCAAACCAATATGTACTTTCTCTGCAAGTCAGTTGCCACAGAGAAATGCACCATATTCAAAAACACAATTAGCAAAGAGTCAATTGAAAAGTTTTTCAAGCAACATCCAATGAAGCCTATCCAGTTGTTCTGCCCTGCATCTCTTCCCAAATGATCTAGAGTATCCACTTGTGGTAGTAAGAAAGATATCTCATAAAAACAACAATAAAAAATTACACCATAAACAATTTCCCATTTGGGTTCAAATCTCATGGTAATTGAGAATAATAAAATTGATGCCCAAGATCTGGAGCTCTCACCTCTACTTGACGTTGCAGAGACTGCACGTGGTTGATGATTTCATCAAGGACCAACGCCGTGCCAGAAATCTGTTGTACAAGACAATTATTAGAATGCAAGGATGCACCGTGCTCACACATCAAATAATATTTACCAACTAAAAATTTTCAAACCAACAAGTCAGAACAAAAGGTCAAGTGGGCAAATGAACTAGAAGAGAGAGAGTGAAGGAGTGAGATCGAAAGAAGTGTCATTTCAGTAATAACACTAAAACTTCCATGATAGTACTATACCCAGAAGAAAATGTTCTCCCTCTGCTGTCAAGAATCCAAATATAAAATTTTGAATTGCATAAATAACTGGCAGTAACGATGCAGATAGATGCCCCAACTATGGGTTGTGGCCTAATAAAAGGGGCTTCAGGGGAAGTACACTTTGTTGTAGATATTGCACTAAAACAGAAAAGCCTAAAATTTGTACCAAACCAGCTCTGCTTAACATGCCTTGACTCCTGAAGGATGCAAAATAAGCTTATGCAAGCAAAAGCAGATGGCTATTAATATCCATAACATTTTCTAACAATTACGGATATGTTAAGAAAATCAGCAATGCTAGTCCTAGGAACAAGAGACTATTCACAGCTTTGATGTTCTAGTCTTCACTAATTTGTGGTCACTTAATAAGCAAAAGGTGGCGAAGAATGACTGGATCCCTGTTTTGTGATTCTGCTTCTTAAAATTAACATATCAAGGCATAAATCTAGCTTACGTTTCAAACTTGATTATATTGATCTTTTAATGGATTATCACATCATGTCCCCATGTAGTTAGGTGGGGTGTTTGGCATGTGAATTTGTAAAGAGAAACTTTTCTTGTCATCCTTTTCTCATTTATCCAAATTGAGAATGGACACCGAACTTGTAGGAGAAGTTAGTGCTGATCTAACAAAAAAGAAATGGGACCACAGGAAAAAAATGGATTTAAACCTAAACCAAAGAAGGCATTAAAATGCCAACAATCACTTCAATGGTTAAATGCAACTTCCAGCTAGCATTTCCACTAGGCAAAAAATTCCCAAACGACAGGAAAGGGTATTATGGTCATTTCGACAATACTTGGCCTTTTTCCAAGATTTTTAAGTGTCATTTTCACAATACATAGCCTTTTCCAATTTGTTTCAAAGTATGAGCATCATTTCACAATATTCGAATTAAACTAGAAAATCTGGCTTTTTCTAACAACTGGCTTAACCACACCGGCAACAAAAGAGATTGATAATTCCATAGGATGATATCAACCTCAAAAGGGACTTCTAACAAACTATCCCACAATAAAACCCACTCATAGAGTAAATAGATCAAACTGCCACTAAAACCCAGATGGGCGCTTCTCTTCGTACGAAAGCAACCCACCTTGTGACAAAAGGGTGACATTGAAAAAACCGTTATTAAAGCTCTTAATTTAAAGAGCTAATCACACTTTTTAGCGGATATTCTTAATTTAATTGCAGAAATCACAATCAAATGATTAATCAACAAATTCATAAAAGCAAATCTAATTGCGCTGACCTTACTGCATCCAGGGACCAGCTCCTGCAGCAGTTTCATCCGAGCATTGATTTTCTCTCTCCTTGCCTATAGAGTATAAACCAAATATAAAGAACAAAAATTAGCTAAAAAAATCATTACTTGATGATAAATTATGAGATAATTAGACTAATTAAGGGTTAATCATGAAGTTACTCTTTCTGCCAAGCTATGGCTATCGGTTGCTTGACCACGGCGAGCTCGGACATGAACATAAGGGAGCTTCTCGGCGTCGTCGGAGCTTTCATTTGCCGCCGTCTTGCTCTTCTTAGCTGACCCTTTAGCCTAAAACCGCTCAAAACGAAACTAATTTAGCAATTAAGCCATTAAATTAGCAAAAGATGAGAAACCCAGAAACCCTAAATCGTTTTCACCTTCTTTTCTCGCTCCTTCCTCTTGGCAGACTTCGTCTCCACAGTCGGATCAGAAACCAGCGGCTGCGACGATTCCGTCTCTGCCGGCTCACTCTTTACCGCCTTCTTGAGATTCGCGCTGGAATCATTCAACGCCGTCTCTACTGAATTCTTCTCAATGTTGGTATTGTTGCTACCTTCCCCGGCAAAAACTGAGAATCTTGCAGCTCTCTCAACCAAAGCAATATTGGTTGGAAAATGAAGCCTTCCCTTGAAATCCTCCATATGCGGAGGTTTAAAGGTGTCGTTAGAGATAAGATTGGCAGATTCCGGGGAGTGAAGGAGCTCCACGGCTTGTGTGGGGGGCATCTCGAGTAAGGCAGTGAAGGAACTCGCGTTATCAGACGGCGCAGAGATCAATCTGTGGATTTCATCCGTAAATTGGATGGATTCAAGCGCCGTCGCCTCCTCTTCTGGTGTCTTCTGAACAGATCTAGCACCTGTTCCATCAATTCTCTCCATGGAGTACACCAATTTCAACACTTTCAAAGTACCCACTTCGAATTCAGGAAAATAACGACTACCCACTTGGTTAAATTCAATCAATTCTTCACTCCACCATTCCCAAATGAAATGACACAAACCTCTCTCCTCCAAGAAAAAGAACAAAACCCCAAGTGGGTTTTTCTCTAAATGGGAATTCTGACTTCTGGGTCAAGGAAGCAAAGGAGAGGATCTGTACCTGGTCTTTTCCCTGTTTGTGTGCATAGAATGAGGAGCATAGACAGAGAAAAAAAAAAAGAAGTGATGGAGAAGGTGCTTCAATGGCGGTCAAGGTTCGTAAATGTGGTTTCTGTGTTGATTCTCTGCAGGAGAGATTACTTCAGAGCCATTTGAAGTATAGAGAAAGCAATGTCGCTGGGTTGTCTGGTTTTAATTGTAAACCAATTTTTAGAGAGAGCAAGGAAGGAGAAGACGCATTAGGTACGGTTAGAAAGTGTACAGTTCGTTGGGGTTAGGAGGCAGGAGAGCTTGGGTGTGGTCCCGTCTAACTTTTACTGTAGTCTATGCGATCCTTTTCCAACGGGGCCGCTGGGTCAAGGAGTGCCTTTCCATCCCAATTCTGGATGGAAATTTCTAGAATTTTTGAAAGAGGTAAAATTTGCCCTTCGCTTCTGTTATACGTAGAGAATGGATCCCTGTAAAAATTTCTCGTTCAATTTATGTTATAAAATTCATTTAATTGTTTTTATTTTATTATTTTAAAATAAAATTTAAAATAATTAAAATTAAAATTAAATAACAATAGTACCATAATTATTAATTAAATATTTAAATTTATTTTTTAATAAACCCACGTGGCAAAAAACTTTTTCTTACAAGATTTTACAAAAAGAAAATGCTACAGGAAGGAATATTCTATCTTGACACCGCCCTCATTGTCGGAATTCCCGTAAGGATAGGGCTAAATTACAATCCCTATCATTTTCTCATTTTTATTTAAATAACCATTTTTTGTTATAGAACTTTCAATTTAAATTTTTTTAGTCCTTAAATTATTTTTTGTACTTTTGTAGTCTATAAATTATGAAAAGT